CTTGCGCACCAAGGGTGAGGTCACTGAGGTGTTGATCGACTGGATCCGCGCAGCTCGTCTCCAGCTCAGGAAGAGCTTCGGCTCAGACTTTCCTGTTTTCCGCCTGCACTCGGACAGAGGCGGAGAGTTCTCCTCCGGCCTTCTGCGAGCCTACTGTCGGGCACGAGGCATCCGCCAGACCTTCACGCTTCCGGACTCTCCACAGCAGAATGGGATTGCTGAGCGCCGCATCGGCATTGTCATGGACGTCGCCCGTACGTCCATGGTGCATGCGGCTGCCCCCCATTTTCTGTGGCCGTTTGCGGTTCGGTACACCGCGCATCAGATCAACCTTCACCCCAGGGTCTCTCGACCCGCGATGTCCCCAGTCTTGATGTGGACGGGGAAGGTTGGTGATGCGTCGGCGTTCCGTGTCTGGGGATCTCAGGCGTTTGTCCGCGACCTGTCTGCGGACAAGCTGTCCCCTCGTGCTGCTCCCTGTGTCTTCCTTGGCTTCCCCCCTGACGCCCCAGGGTGGCAGTTCTACCACCCCTCCTCTCGTCGTGATCTGTCCTCCCAGGACGTCACGTTCGACGAGTCAGTCCCCTTCTACCGCCTCTTCCCCTAGCGCACTCCTTCCCTCCCCCCTCCACCAGACTTCCTTGTGCCGGTTCCCCCCCCGGTAGACCCCCTCCCCCCTCAGGTTCCTGCTCCCTCAGGTGTGTCCCAGGTAGACGCCGTTGACCCGGTCGAGGTTACTGGTGACTCTGGTGCTGCTGCGGGTGCTGGGCCTGGGGGTGCTGCCTCTGGGGGTGCTGTGCGCGGGGGTGCCGGGCCTGGAGGTGCTGCTACTGGGGGTGCTGAGCCTGGGGGTGCTGGGCCTGAGGGTGCTCCTGCGGAGGGTGCTGAGCCTGGGGGTGCTGAGACTGGAGGTGCTACGCCTTGGGGTGCAGAGCCGGGGGGTGCTGTGTCAGGAGCTGCTGAGCCTGGGGGTGCTGAGTCTGGAGCTGCTGCGCCTGGGGGTGTTGCGTCTGGAGCTGCTGAGCCTGGGGTTTCTCCTGCTGCTGCGTCTCGCCGGGAGCCCCTCTCTCCACAGGAGCTGCGCGAGTGGTTTGCTCGCCGCTGGAGGCATGCTGCTGGAGCTGGAGCTTCTTCGACTGTCGAGGGTGCTGGTCTTGCCGGTCCCGGAGCTGCTGGGCCTGCGGGTCCTACTGGAGCTGGAGCCGCTGAGGGTGTTGGTGCTGAGACAGCTGCTGTCTGTCCTGGCGGTGGTTCTGCTGCTGGTGCTGCTGGAGGTCCTGCTGCTGGAGGTGCTGGTGGCGCTGGTGCTGTCGCTGAGGGTGTTGGTGCTGTACCTGCTGAGTCTGGAGTTGCCGCGCGGCCTCGGCCGTACTTCGTTCCGCTCCTGCAGCAGGTTCTTAGTCTTTCTCCTCCGGTAGAGTGTCCACAGCCTGTCCAGCCGCAGTCCCTGTTGGAGCCTTCCTCTCCACTGCCTGCTCCCTCTCCTTACACTGGTCCTACTGGAGGTCTTGCTGAGCGTCGTGAGCCTGCGTCTCGTCCTGCGTCGCCTATTCGTGCTGCTCGCACTAGTGGTCGCGGTTCGCGTCAGCGTCCTCCTCCTGTCCCTGGCACGCACCGGATGTCTCTGCGTCCGTCCACTGCTCCTCTGCGTGCCTCTTTGCACTTGCCGACCCGGAGTCGGACTCTCTTCGTGCTGCCAGTCCTACTGTCACGCGTCTCCTTGCTACTGTCGTCACTGACCCTTCTTTTGAGTCCACTGCTGCGTCTGCCCTAGTTGCTGAGCTCGTCGACTTTGCTGCTCGCTGTCGTCTAGACTACGCTGTTAGTCTTGTCTCTGAGTCTGCGTCTGTCTATCCTCCGTCCGTCGGGGGTGAGTGTGCCCTTGGCACGGACGTCCTTGAGGACAGGCAGGAGGAGTTCCAGTGTCTGGCTGCTGCTTCACCTCATCTCGTGTCCGTACTGCTTACCCCTGAGGGAGACCCGGATGCACTTGACATCCCGACTCCGCGCTCTTACGCGGAGGCCGTAGAGGGTCCCTACTCCTCTCAGTGGCAGGCAGCTATGGATGCAGAGATGGCTTCCTGGAAGTCCACAGGCACCTACGTTGACGCGGTTCCCCCACCTGGGGCGAACATCGTCAGTGGCATGTGGATCTTCAGGGTGAAGCGGCCGCCGGGTTCTCCACATGTCTTCAACGCGCGGTACGTGGCTCGTGGCTTCAGTCAGCGGCAGGGAGTTGACTACTTTCAGACCTTCTCTCCCACCCCGAAGATGACCACTCTTCAGGTGCTGCTGCACATAGCCGCTCAGCGCGACTACGAGCTTCACTCTCTTGACTTCAGCACTGCTTTCTTGCAGGGTAGCCTGCACGAGGAGATCTGGCTGCGCTGCCCACCTGGCTTCACTGGGACTTTTCCTCCTGGCACCCAGTGGAGCCTCCGGCGGCCAGTCTACGGTCTCCGCCAGGCACCGCGTGAGTGGCACGACACACTGAGGACTACGCTTGCGGCTCTTGGGTTTGCTCCCTTTACTGCCGACCCGTCACTGTTTCTGCGCACCGACACCTCTTTGCCGCCGTTCTACATCCTCGTGTACGTCGACGACTTGGTCTTTGCCACAGCGGACACTGCTGGACTTGCCTACGTGAAGTCCGAGCTGCTGAAGAGACACACGTGCACAGACCTGGGTGAACTGCGCAGCTACCTTGGCTTGCAGATCACTCGGGACAGAGCACGCCGCACCATTACCTTGACTCAGTCACACATGGTGCAGCAGGTCCTTCAGCGCTTCGGCTTCACGTACTCCTCGCCTCAGGCCACTCCTCTGTCTACTCGCCACTCGCTCTCAGCTCTGCCTTTGGATGAGTCCGTAGAGTCGAGTGGCCCGTACCCAGAGCTTGTTGGCTGCCTCATGTACCTGATGACCTGCACACGACCTGACCTTGCATACCCTCTAAGCATTCTTGCACGCTATGTTGCTCCTGGGAGACACCGACCAGAGCACATGGCTGCAGCAAAGAGGGTGTTGCGCTACCTGTGCAGTACGTCGGGCATGGGGCTAGTGCTTGGAGGGCGGAGTCCAGTGGTCCTTACAGGGCACGCGGACGCTTCTTGGGCTGACGACCAGGCTACGCAGCGGTCGACACAGGGTTACACCTTCAGTCTTGTGGACGGCTCTGTCTCGTGGCGGGCTACTCGCTCGTCTTCGGTTCTCAGCTCCAGTTGTGAGGCTGAGATCTACGCTGGGGCCATGGCTGGCAGGAGCTTTGCTGGCTCACCTACCTGCTGACTGACCTTGGAGAGCCGCCTCGTTCTCCTCCAGTGCTGTACGTAGACAACAAGGCCATGCTGGCCTTATGTCGAGAGCAGCGTCTGGAGCACAGAACGAAGCACATTGCTCTTCGCTACTTCCTTGCTCGTGAGCTGCAGCAGCGTGGACAGTTGCGGCTTGCGTACGTGGCCTCTGAGGCCAACACTGCTGATGTGTTCACCAAGGCACTCGCGCCTTGTGACCATCAGCGCCTCTGCACCCAGCTGGGTCTTGTGCCTGTCTTGCCTCACTTGCTCTCCTCTTGACTTTACTTGTACTGTGACATATATATACCTGCTCTTGCTTGTCTAGTTTTATATATATATGTCTGTACTCCTGCATGTGAACTGGCCTCTGGCCCTGCTCTTGTGCTCGGACTGTGTGGTGACGTTGTGATCCACCCTGAGCTTGCTCTGCTTTGCTTTACTTGACTGGTCTTGTGACCCCTTGTTCTCACCCACTTTGCCTATGGGGGTGTGTCAGATTTATATGACATAGTTGCTGTAGGCTATAGTGGGGTAGCACATATGGGGTACAGGGTTTCTAGGGTTGTATTTGTACCCAATCTTTCCTTAGTCATTCCATCCCTGTTCACTTGTTTCACAAGTAAGTGGTGTTTAGGTTCTGTTTTTAGCACTGCTAGCGTATGTTTCACTTGTGTACTTGAATAGTGTGTTCATCGGCTTCCTAAATGTCATGCAAGATCAACCCTCATATTGTACCCACTCCAAATTTCAGCCCCCAGTTATCATGTTTAGTCTGCGTAACTTATGAAATCCCCTTTCCTGCTCATTTCTTTCAACATCATCTTCGGCCTAAGAGCCATGTTATCTCGTTCCTGCTGCTATTATCATGTTTTCTACAACCTTATGCTCATTTTCCCCTACGTTATACCCTCTCTAACTTATTGCCCATTTGTCCCATTTATCATGAGCCTTCCCCGTGCGACATGGGAAATATGGTGATATGAGATATCCGGTTTAAACTGAAATTTCAAGTTGCCTACAACTCAAAGAACCTTCCTTATCCCTCCACTTTGTCCATGCAGGAGCATAAGGTCGCCAAATTGTCGTGTGTACATATGCTTGCTGCGATCATATTTGCTGAATGTGGGCTTATTTTACCCAAGTGTTCATGTGTGTTATGAGATCCTGCTGGTTTTAGCTACCGTAATCCTGCTGGTTTCAGTTATGCGTTAATCCCCTTTTATCTCATTGCCCATTCATCCCAAAAACAGGGAATACGGGCTGCCATGCGTACACATCTTCGCCGTGTTCAAAAACGATGCTCAGAGGGCGCACGCAGTGATCCAGAAATATCACACAACTTCAGCACTGCAACAAGTGTACAGAACGCCGATCCGACTTCTCGATCCAACCTCTGTGGTCCCTGACGGCGTTACCCTCCCTCCGGTCTACAAGAAGAAGGCTGGTCGGCCCCCAAAGCGTAGAATGCGGTCCACAGGAGAGATGGACCCAATCAAGTTGCGCAAGTGTGGAAAGTGCGGTGAGTACGGTCATAATGCCCGAATTTGCGAGGTCCGTGCATCCAACAGAGTGTTGTGGGAAGCTTTACAAACCCCCGCAGGGCAATTGTCAGTGCAAACAATGATGGACGCAGATGGTGCAGTGCATGTAGCCCTGTGCAACGCTTGCAACCGAACGCACCGCAGAGGGATTAGGTGTCAAGCCATGCGTAGACTAGGACAGCCAGGTGATATGGAGGAGGAGTCATGCAGCGAGGATGATGGGAGTGTCGGTTTGGTTGAAGGGATTGGTGAAGTGGATGAGGAGGGACGGGATGATCGTGATGCCGTGACATATGGTGGGGCGCTGGTCTAGGTGTTTGGTAGGGATCCCGGAACTGCCGGTGATGTTGGTCTTGGAGAACGCACAACCACGAACTCAGACTTGCCCACTCAAACGGACAATTCGGGGGCGACACAGATAGACATCACCCAAGAGAGTCAGGCGGGACGAGTGTCGGATACTTCGGTGGCCGAGCGGGTGGAAGGGTTGAGGACGGCGGAGGACATGGTTGCAGGGCGTATACGGCGGATGCAGGGATTACTCCTGCAGCGTGATGTGGCAAGACAGGCAGGAGAGGAACGTGCAACAAATGAAGGTAGGGGCAGAGGCAGGGGACGCAATGCAAGCCGAGGAGAACGGGGAAGAGGGAGAGGGAGAGGGAGAGGGAGAGGCAGAGGCAGATATGGATCTTGGTCTACCACGGAACAGCAGGGAGGAGCTGAACGGTTGGAACAAAATGGTGGGAGCGGATTGGAAGGGATGGAAAGTCAGCAGGGGATGAGAGGGCAGCATGGGATGGGAGGACACCCGGGGTTGCGAGGGCAGCAGGGGATGGCAAGGCAGCAGGGGATGGCCTGGCAGCAGGGGAGCGGCGGACAGGCAGGGTTGGGAGGGCGGCAGCGGACGGGAGGGCAGCAGGGGTTGGGAGGGCAGCAGGGGATGGCAAGGCAGCATGGGATGACAGGGCAGCAGGGGAGCAGCGGACAGGCAGGGTTAGGAGGGCAGCAGGGGTTGGGAGGGCAGCAGAGGATGGGAGGGCAGCAGGGGTTGGGAGGGCAGCAGGGGATGGCAAGGCAGCATGGGATGACAGGGCAGCAGGGGAGCAGCGGACAGGCAGGGTTAGGAGGGCAGCAGGGGTTGGGACGGCAGCAGAGGATGGGAGGGCAGCAGGGGTTGGGAGGGCAGCAGGGGTTGGGAGGGCAGCAGGGGATGGCAAGGAGGCATGGGATGACAGGGCAGCATGGGATGACAGGGCAGCATGGGTTGGGAAGGCAGCAGGGGTTGGGAGGGCAGCAGGGGTTGGGAGGGCAGCAGGGGATGACAGGGAGGCATGGGATGACAGGGCAGCATGGGATGACAGGGGAGCAGGGGTTGGGAAGGCAGCAGGGGTTGGGAGGGCAGCAGGGGTTGGGAGGGCAGCAGGGGTTGGGAGGGCAGCAGGGGTTGGGAGCGCAGCAGGGGTTGGGAGGGCAGCAGGGGTTGGGAGGGCAGCAGGGGTTGGGAGGGCAGCAGGGGTTGGGAGGGCAGCAGGGGATGGCAAGGAGGCATGGGATGACAGGGCAGCATGGGATGACAGGGGAGCAGGGGTTGGGAGGGCAGCAGGTGTTGGGAGGGCAGCAGGGGATGGCAAGGAGGCATGGGATGACAGGGCAGCATGGGATGACAGGGGAGCAGGGGTTGGGAAGGCAGCAGGGGTTGGGAGGGCAGCAGGGGTTGGGAGGGCAGCAGGGGTTGGGAGGGCAGCAGGGGTTGGGAGGGCAGCAGGGGTTGGGAGGGCAGCAGGGGATGACAGGGGAGCAGGGGTTGGGAGGGCAGCAGGGGTTGGGAGGGCGGCAGGGGTTGGGAGGGCAGCATGGGATGGGAGGGCAGCAGGATACGAGAGGCCAATTTGGGTCCCAGGATGCGTTACAAGGGCAATTTGGGTACGTCCAAGCCCTTAACCAACGATGGGGACGCGTGGGAATGCCAATGCATGGGAACGTTGCAGGTCTGGAGCAACGTTGGAGCCATGTGGGCATGCCATTGCAACGGGAGGTTGAGGGGTCGGCGTCTGGTATGCACAACAAGTCGCCGTGCCAACAGGGATACGAGAACAACAGCAGCTCTTTGTAGTAGAACGTGTGGGCTATGCATCTTATTATTCATGGATACAGGATTGACTTCAAGAGCGCTCTAGCATGTCCTTTTCTGTTATTTCCCACATTGTCTCTGCAACGTCACAAATGGTGGGGGCTTTGGGTATCAAAATACTCCAATGTCAGTGTATGGTGCTTATATTTAACACTTAAAAAAGGTGGTATCAAATGTTGAACATCTTCTGGTTGCATCTTTCTATTGCTTGTGTTGATCGGTGTGCACAATTTTAACAGGATGCTGGGGGGAATGAATGACAATGGTTGACAACCAGTTGTGGCCTAGTGGAATGTTGTTTACAATACCGTACTAAACATATGGGCATGCCACTCCAACAGTAGAGTGCGGGTTGGTGCATGGATTTGACATTAGGTGTCCTTGCTAACAGGGACAGAGAACAGCACCACTTGGGACTATGGTATGCATGAATAATCAGCCACAGTTCTAAAAATTTCAGGGTTTTTTTAACCCAAATCAGCCTTTTTATGCTGACTTCTGTGGTTGTTGTGGGTCGAGGAAGTGAGTGGGGCAGGTGCGTGACGCTATATCACTTCCCTTCCATCCCTGCAGGGGTTTAGATGGTACATACGGTAAATGTGTCAAACTTTGTATGTACTGTATGTCACATGGTTGTGGACGGTGCAGTATTGCACATATGCGATTGCTGAAAGCAGAGCTGGTGTTTGATACAAATGTTTCAGAACCCGCACGACAGTACGCAGTGGTGATTGTATTAAAATAACATCCAACGCCTTCGTTCTATCATGTTTTTGATGGTCTGAGCAGCTTTGTGTCCCACGGAGAAGCCAGCCACACTTCTACTACGAAACATGCTCGCAGATTATCGCAAACGTATTGCATTTGCATATGATAGTCATGGGCAATGCGGAGGACTATCATGTACACATTAATGCTGTGAGTGGCAAATGTGTGGCCAGGGCTCTTGCTATGATTTGGGCCTGTCTGAAAACACCAAAGTAAAAAATCGTTCCGTCTGACGATCAGACGGGCATATTTTTTTGGTCTGATTTTCTAGACGAATGTTGGAGCTTAGTCTGATCTTTCAGACTATTTAATTTGCATAGTAGGATTCAGCTAGCACCCTTGTCTAGCATAATCACACTTGTTTTTGTTAATGAACACGCCCCTAGCGCGGCGATGTGCAGCTAGCTAGCTGACAGGCGTGTGGCTGTTGAGGGGCATGCACGTGGCATTGAGGTGCTGCGAGGGATCAGGTTGGTTGGAGGGACGCGAGAAGAAAGGGGAGGGCTGGGTTGTTGCGAGACTTCACGAGGGGCATGGGGAGGGGACATGGGGAGGGAGGGGACCTAAGGCTGGGGGGAAGGGGAAGAAGGTCTGGACTAGGCCAGGAAGAGGAGCGAGGGCATCGAAAGGGGGCTTAGAGAAGCGAGGGATCGGGGGGGAGGGGGGGGGGGGGAGGAGGGTGTTCGGTATCAGACGAATTGCAACCCGCTATCTGAAATTTCAGACTAAGTATTAGGCTTGCTCTGAAAAATCAGATGAGCTAAATTTCGTAATCTTACGGATCAGACGAAGTAAAAACCCTTGTCTTGAGAATCAGATGAAACCCAAAATCAAGGTCTGAAAATCAGAAAATCATACCAATTTGGTCTGATAACGAGAGCCCTGTGTGTGGCACTCTTGTGCAAACAGTCCACTCTCACCAACATGTTGATCACGACTTTGTAAACCAGATGATGATTATATATGAATGCAATGCCAACTGCTATTCCAGGTGGTAGTGTTGGCCCACTCGTTATATCCAGCATTAACCGTCGAAAGTGACGAGGAAATATCTCAACACCACGCTTATCGTCCATGTACCTCATCGACAGGCACCGTCTCACCTACCACTAATAACCGCCAACACCAATTTACCCACCCTCTAACCGTCACCTTAGGGTATGAACAAGGTAAGCTCCTCTCTTCTCTTCTCCTTCCGCCATCCCATCCCTGCAACCAGCATAGTGTATGAGAGTGGGTTGGAGTGTAGGAGAGGGGATGGGGGGGGATGAGAGTGTATGAGAGGGAACGAGAGTGTGTGAGAGGGGATGAGGGGGGATGAGAGCTTATGAGAGTGAATGAGAGTGGGTGAGAGGGAATGAGAGCGTGTGAGGGTGGGTGAGAGGGAATGAGAGCGTATGCGAGTGGGTGAGAGGGAATGAGGAGTATGAGAGTGGGTGAGAGGGAATGAGAGCGTATGAGAGTGTGTGAGAGGGAATGAGAGGGTGTGAGGGTGGGTGAGAGGGAATGAGAGCGTATGAGAGTGGATGAGAGGGGATGAGAGAGGATGAAAGGGGATGAACGTGAATGAGAGGGGATGAAAGGGAACGAGAGTGAATGAGAGGGGATGAGTGGAAATGAGAGTGTATGAGAGGGGATTAGAGTGTAGGAGAGGGGATGAGAGGGAATGAGAGTGGAAGAGATGGGATGAGAGGGGTTGAGAGTGGAAGAGAAGGGATGAGAGGGAATGTGAGTGGAAGAGAGGGTACGAGAGTGTATGAGAGGGAACGAGAGTGTGTGAGAGGGGATGAGGGGGGATGAGAGCTTATGAGAGTGAATGAGAGTGGGTGAGAGGGAATGAGAGCGTGTGAGGGTGGGTGAGAGGGAATGAGAGCGTATGGGTGAGAGGGAATGAGAGGGAATGAGAGTGGGTGAGAGGGAATGAGAGCGTATGAGAGTGTGTGAGAGGGAATGAGAGGGTGTGAGGGTGGGTGAGAGGGAATGAGAGCGTATGAGAGTGGATGAGAGGGGATGAGAGGGGATGAAAGGGGATGAACGTGAATGAGAGGGGATGAGAGGGAACGAGAGTGAATGAGAGGGGATGAGTGGAAATGAGAGTGTATGAGAGGGGATTAGAGTGTAGGAGAGGGGATGAGAGGGAATGAGAGTGGAAGAGATGGGATGAGAGGGGTTGAGAGTGGAAGAGAAGGGATGAGAGGGAATGTGAGTGGAAGAGAGGGTACGAGAGTGTATGAGAGGGAATGAGAGTGTGTGAAGGGGAACGAGAGTGGATGAGAGGGGATGAGAGTGGATGAGAGGGGATGAGAGGGGATGAGAGTGAATATGAGTGTATGATAGTAGATGAGAGTGAATGTGGGGGAATGATAGTGTGTGAGATAGGACGAGAGGAGATGAGTGGGAATGAGAGTGTGTGAGAGGGGATGAGAGGGGATGAGAGTGGATGGGAGGGGTTGAGAGCGTATGAGAGTTGATGAGAGTGGATGAGAGGGAATGAGAGAGTATGAGAGTGGGTGAGAGGGAATGAGAGCGTATGAGAGTGGGTGAGAGGGAATGAGAGCGTACGAGAGTGGGTGAGAGGGAATGGGAGCGTATGAGTGTGGGTGAGAGGGAATGAGAGCGTATGAGTGTGGGTGAGAGGGAATGAGAGCGTATGAGTGTGGGTGAGAGGGAATGAGAGAGTATGAGAGTGGGTGAGAGGGAATGAGAGCGTATGAGAGTGGGTGAGAGGGAATGAGAGCGTATGAGAGTGGGTGAGAGGGAATGAGAGCGTATGAGTGTGGGTGAGAGGGAATGAGAGCGTATGAGAGTGGGTGAGAGGGAATGAGAGAGTATGAGAGTGGGTGAGAGGGAATGAGAGCGTATGAGAGTGGGTGAGAGGGAATGAGAGCGTATGAGAGTGGGTGAGAGTGTATAAGATGGGATGATAGGGGATGAGAGGGGATGAGAGGGGATGATAGGGGATGAGCAGGGATGAGAGTGTATGAGTGTGTTGGGGAGTGTATAAGAGGGGATGAGAGTGTATATGATAGTCTATGAGTGGGTATGTGTGGGTACGAGAGTGTATGAGAGTGTATGAGAGGGAATGAGATGGGATGAGAGGGGAGGAGAGGGGATGAGAGTGAATGAGAGTGTATGATAAGGGATGATGAGAGTGTATGAGAGTATATGGGAAGGGATGAGAGTGTATGAGTGTGTACGGGAGAGTATGACGGGATGATAGTGTATATGATAGTGTATGGGAGGGTATGAGTGTGTACAAGAGTGTATGAGAGTGTATGAGAGGGGATGAGAGTGTATGAGAGAGGATGTGAGGGGATAAGAGGGGATGGGTGTGAATGAGAGTGTATGGAAGTGTATGAGAGTGGATGAGAGCGGATTAGGGGGTATGAGTTTGTATGAGAGGGGATGAGAGTGAATAAGGGTGTATGTGAGTGTATGAGAGAGGATGAGAGGGGTTGAGAGTATATGAGAGTGGATGAGGAGGGATGAGAGTGAATAAGGGTGTATGTGAGTGTATGAGAGAGCATGAGAGGGGTTGAGAGTGTATGCGAGTGGATGAGGAGTGATGAGAGTGTGTAAGAGAGTGTATGAGAGTGTGTGAGAGTGTATGAGAGGGAATGGGAGGGGATGAGAGGGGATATGAGGGGATTAGAGGGGATGAGTGTGAATGAGAGTGTATGAGAGTGTATGAGTGTGTGTGGGAGTGTATAAGAGGGGATGAGAGTGTATATGAGTGCATATAAGTGGGTACGAGAGGGTGTGAGAGTATATGAGAGGGAATGACATGGGATGAGAGAGGATGAGAGGGGATGAGAGTGAATGAGAGTGTATGATAAGGGATGATGAGAGAGTATGAGAGTATAGGAGAGTGTATGAGAGTGAATGAGAGGGGATGAGAAGGGATGAGAGGGAATGAGAGCGTATGAGAGTGGGTGAGAGGGAAGGAGAGCGTATGAGAGTGGGTGAGAGGGAATGAGAGCGTATGAGAGTGGGTGAGAGGGAATGAGAGCGTGAGAGAGTGGGTGAGAGGGAATGAGAGCGTAAGAGAGTGGGTGAGAGGGAATGAGAGCGTATGAGAGAGGGTGAGAGGGATTGAGAGCGTATGGGAGTGGGTGAGAGGGAATGAGAGCGTATGAGAGTGGGTGAGAGGGAATGAGAGCGTATGAGAGTGGGTGAGAGGGAATGAGAGCGTATGAGAGTGGGTGGGGGGAATGAGAGCGTATGAGAGTGGGTGAGAGGGAATGAGAGGGTGTGAGAGTGGGTGAGAGGGAATGAGAGCATAAGAGAGGGGGTGAGAGGGAATGAGAGCGTAAGAGATGGGGTGAGAGGGAATGAGAGCGTAAGAGAGTGGGTGAGAGGGAATGAGAGCGTAAGAGAGTGGGTGAGAGGGAATGAGAGCGTATGGGAGCGGCGGGTTAGCGCATAACGGTGGCGGATCGTCGCAATGCGGCCGGCAGGGTGGCCGCATTGCGCATTGCGACGGCGGCGGCCTGGTCGACGCGATGCGCGGAGCGGCCAAAAGCAGGACGCAATGCGCATCGCGACGGCGGCGGCCCGGTCGGCGCGATGCGCTTTGCGGCCCGAAGCTGGCCGCAATGCGCATCGCGGCGGCGGCTGCTCCTGATCGTCGCGATGCATCTCGCGACGATCGGGCCCGATGCATCGGGCGATGCGCTGTTCGGCGCGCCGGTTTGTGGGCGCATCGCGACAGCGGTCTGATCGACTTTATTCATTCATATTAGTAGTAATTTTCGAGTAACAAGGGACTAAACGTGAATGGATGGGGAAAGGCTTTAGGGCTAAGGCACGCACCGTTGATAGGAAGTCAGGTGCTGCTAACGAACGCCTTGGATGCGTGACGGGGAAGGCAGCTGGCGAAAGGTATGATAGCTACTAGTAATAGCGTGAGGAATAGCTGATGGCGGGAAGTAAGTTGGAGAGCTGCGCTGGGGTCAAGGTTCTGTACTTGGTTGGAACCGTAGCGGGCAGGGGGGTGTACAGCACGTCGGGTCGTGGTGTGGTTACGGTGGGCTGGAGGCTCGACGGTACAAGCGTGCATCAAACCTCTCCGCACGAGTTGGCGCGAGCGGGAAATCGGCCTGGTTTCAGGAATTTCTGGCGGGGGTTTCTGTCAGAATCCCGACCACTAGACCATTGGGATAAAAGGGCTTGTTAAGTAGCGGGTCAGTGCGCCCATAACCCCCCAGGACAACGAGCCTGTAACCCTTCCCTAGGATCAATCGGGGATCACCAGTGGACCTTTGACACCCCCCCGCACTGGGATGCCCGAGGTGCATACACCGGGATTCGAACCCGAGACCGCTCTGATATCATGTCAGAATCCCAACCACTAGACCATTGGGATAAAAGGGCTTGTTAAGCAGCGGGTCAGTGCGCCCATAACCCCCCAGGACAACGAGCCTGTAACCCTTCCCTAGGATCAATCGGGGATCACTAGTGGACCTCTGACAGTTTCATGTGTTACCATTCGCGTGGAACCCTAGCTGTTGATGGTGACTGATTCCGTGACCCCGTTTACCCAGCCCGTCAGGACACTCGATACAGTTACCGTGCGCTTTTTTTTTTTACCATTGACGTTATCGGGTCACATGTTGGTTACCTGTGACATATATTTTCCCAATGAATTCTGCCTTCCCCGCAACATACTTCAAACTACTTTCGACCTGAGGGCATTGCCTGGCTCGATGAATTCAGCACCTCCATTCTCAGTTGTTCACTTTTTTGTAGAGCCCGCGAAGCAACCCCATAACAAACGTTTGTATGCTGTGTTTCTGATCCTTCCGAACACTAGGCGTCACCCTTCTCTAGGCCTGAATATGAACGGTTCTGAGCATAGAGATTGTCAGTCTGGTATCATTTTGGAAAAGATGTCTGCATCATGACAAAATGGATTTTCACACTTTTAGTGACAATCAAATTTTGTCTTGCAGAACACTTCGCACTTTTCTTCATTCCGCCACTGGCTCTACACTTTGGGAGAGTCCAGTTCCGGGGATTTTCAGTTTCGTGCCAAAGATGTGTCAGCTCGAGTTGCGGTGTTCCACGAACCGCAGGGCTCGTTTCCCCTGGCTGATTCGTGAATCCTGATGTCGCGGCGCGGCCTGCCCCGGCCGCACGATGTGGCCTGTCCGATGCAATTGACATTGCCCATGACTCATCCCAGCCAGGACCCACAGGACAGATCGACACTGCAGGTTATACGTACCAAGGCTGACGACATTACGGAGTGACAGGATGACAGAAAACTAGACACGTGAGAGGAATTAGACATCAACAAGGTGACACATATCAGTCAGACATTTTTTGCGAGGAAGCTAATATAGAAAGCCTGCAAGATAAAGCGCATTCGTCTTACCCTCCTAGCGAACTGCGAGTTATCTTTCTTCCGCAAGGAACCACAACCTGACCATGGCGTCTCGCGGGTTTTGTGCAGCGCTCCTGCTAAGTACGTCCATGCTGCTTACTGCGTACTGCTTGCTGCGTACTGCTTGCTTCGTACTGCTTGCTGCGTACTGCTTGCTGCTAGGCACAAATACTCGTCCAGTGCTAGCGATAGTGCCAGCTTTTTCTATTTCCTGTGCTAAAGCCTTGCAATCTACATCCCCGGCTTTCTCATCGTGCCTCTCTCCAGCCTTCGGACTTATAATGTGCCTCCAAGCGGTCCCGTCTCAGAGCGTCCGATGCTACTCCAGGCCTCTCGCGGTGCGTCCGTCCAGCTCCTGTTCGTATTAATCTTACTACAGAGAAACGTAATGTGGCGCCAGCGACCTGGTTGGAAATGTAGAAGCTTTGTCAACGACATCGCCAGCGCCTTGTGACTTTAGAGTCGACTAAAAAATCACCTGCTTATTCCATTCAAAATATATAGAAACGCTGCCAACGCCTAGGTCTGTTGCGCAAGTGCTGCATCAGCTCTAAGGTCCCCATTTCTCCCTTCTCCCTTCCCTCGCCGCCTCCCGCCGCGATCCAGCCTTGCGACTTCGTGGTGAAAGGAAGTGCAGGAGTTGTGCCACAGTATCGCATGGTGTCGTTTCTTGGAAACAAGCTGCTCAGCCGCACCCCCATCATCCACAAGTATGTAAGAGAAGGTTATGTTATGTGCTTACTTGATGAGTGAAGCAATGACGGGCGTAAGGTGAATGTGGGGAAGAAAGAAAGGAACGAGCGAGACGAAAGGAGGGGGAAGTTCATAGTTATGAGGTGACTTTTGAGTCGGCTCAAAAGTCAATGTGGGGAAGAAAGAAAGGAACGAGCGAGACGAAAGGAGGGGGAAGTTCATAGTTATGAGACTTTTGAGTCGACTCAAAAGTCAATGTGGGGAAGAAAGAAAGGAGCGAGCGAGACGAAAGAAGGAGGAAGTTCATAGTTATGTTTTCTCAGGTACGATAGAAGGTCCTGTGCTCCCGGCTCCTTTACGAATAAGAGGCTTATATATCATTTCATTGCACTGATAACCTGATTGATGTTGACTGCTGCCTCTTGAGAATTCTCAAAAGCGACTCTAAATGTCACTGAGAATTTCATCGTGATGTGGACTGGTGCAGGTCTGGCGATCTTGTCATCACTGCTTCTTCAGATGACTGCACGTTCGTGGTGAGTCAGCCATTTCTCGAAAAATCTTGTGTAAGGCTTGCTTTAGTACCAAAAGAAACGCAGGACGCAAGTGGTAGAGACTCTGTTTGTGGGGGGAGAGCTACAGTATAACATTCTGTTGTGGTTACCCCATGGTTACTTATGAGTGTTGACCGCGGTTTTGGTTGTCGTGTTTCCTGTTTTGGGTTCGCAGAACTCGGGTGCGAGTTGCGAGAACCGTTTCTTCTTCATGCCGCCAGGCAACGACTACAACAAGACCAACTTTATCGGGCAACACCCCATCGCACGCACTAGCCTTGCGGTAAGTCCTTCGCTTGTACCCTGTTGCACACGATTACCAGCTGAAATTCTTTGCAGTGGTCGTTGTATGAGTGCGTGCACTTTGATGTGAATTCATGGGTGGAACCATGATTTGTTGTTCACTTTTAATTGCAGGTATACAAGCAGCAGTGCGTTCTTCTGTACATGAACAACGCTCTCCTGGCGAGGGCTGGGTGGCTCAATAACGGGGACAACAAGCGCAAGTTTCCCCAGGTAAGGGCATTTAAAGGAGGTTCTTGCTCGGAACACAACAACCGTTACGTACCAGATCAGTGTTTCAAGCGTCTGTTCTATATAGCTGCTGTCCACCTCACGTCTGCACCTCTCATCCCGTGCTCCCTGCTGCCACTTCTGTGTCTCTGCGTTCGTCCCTGCATTTGACTGTTCTAGAAGTAACCCACATATTTCTTTTCCTGCTTGTCTTCACTGCAGGCTCGCCGCTGTGTGGTCTTTACCACAATCTAGCATTCATGACCAGCTCCTTCCAATGTCTCACCACGAAGTGGGCATACATGTACCTATCCGAGCGTTAGTTTCAGTCGTGTCATGCCGTTAGTTTCAGTCGTGTCATGCCCATAGGTTTCATTTGTGGCATCCCCTATACAGGTTTTGCACCATGTAAGAACGAACTGCTTATTGTCTGGTGAGTGGGTTTTGGAAATAATATTTTACCGTACATTGGGAATACAGTAAGCGCCTGATTAGTGGAACCCTCAACACTAGAGGGGAGGGGCTCCTCCATTTGTCAAGAGCAGGACAATAACTCCTCCATCAATAAGACATCACCGGTTAGGCAAAGCATGCTTGCCAAGTGCCTCGATATTAGTAATCCATCATCTGATAGAACCAAAGCTTGCACTTCCAAGAAAGAGTGAACGAAAATAATACCACAAGATCAAAATACTATCATTGCATAAAAAGTTTAATTTTATCTGTTTCGCCATGTTTTGAGAAAATTACGAATGGTCGGACACGCAAAATGAACGAGTTTATGTTTCGTAGACTAACGTATATTAGAGAATTAAGAGATTTATGCTGAATGTTGGGCTGAGGATTTCAGCCTTAGGATCTTTGCAGAGAATAGGCTAATAGGTGCTAGAGTAGCACAGCGGAAGTCTTGAGTGAATGTACTTGTGCTGGTATGTGAGAACAAGTAATTGATTAAAGCAAAGAGCATACATGAATATATAGAAAAGATAGATTACAGGAAACGGTTATGTTTATCGAGACGCGTAACGTTTCGACTATCGAGGCGGTTACTGTTCACTGAAGCGTCGCTTGCTGTTACGTAACCTCCAGGCGGTTACAGCTCGTAACCTACAGTTGCGGTTTGATGTGGTACGCGCCTTTTCGACTTCATACTTCTTTTGTTGTGCTTCAGTATCGGGTGCAGGGCTGACGATATCAGGGTAATTACCCTGATTTCAGGGTGATTACAGGCTTATGACTTGGTGGTCCCTGCAAACACAGGTTTTGTATTTTGTGAACTCTGATCCTATCAGAGTAGCTACTGAACGGACTCTGAATTCTTGTAACTAGGCTCAGGGTAGTGTACTTGCGGAGTCTGTCAATGCAGAGTATGCGTTCCGTGGACCCTGAATGCGAGGGTATTGGGACGAAGTTTCCTAGAAGTTTCGTTTCGATAACCCCCTTGTGCGTAATCATTTCTTCGAGTGGCCCCATGTGAGGTACATCACTCACGCGCCCGTGAGTGACGTAATACCGACAAAGGACACCACTTACGTGCTGTACATCACAGCTGGCAACCACGCCAACTCAATGAGACGGTGCAGCCACGCGCACCGCACAGTGCACAGCATGTGTCTGCCATTGGCCAGAATGGCCTGTAGACAGCATGCGGTGGCAGCCAAGGAGTCCGTGAATGAATTCGGCCTTGAATGCAAGGACGAATTCATCTAGGAATGTTGCCATCAAGTCCGTGGAATCGCGGCGAGGTGGTTTCGTGCTCCCGCCATCTCCAACCTCCCCTTCCCTCCCCATACCAGCAGCCAACGTTCCTTTGTTCACTAGTGTGTTCTTTCCATTACGTGCCTTCATTGTCCCATTTTTCTCTCGTTCAGTTTAGCCACCAATGGAGGCCATGCCGGCCGACGAAGCTGCTCCGGACACTGGCCCCGACGAGCCGCCTGTAAGAGCGAAAACAACAGCGCCGTCCCAGCCGGAGAAAGCTTCGGATGCTCCCCGCTCTGGGCTAGATTTTATTAGATCTACGGCTGCTCCCGTCACACCTGAACCGCCTAGGTCTACCGTTCACGATTCTGCCCTTGTAGTAACCCCTACTCCTACTGCTTCTCCTATTCCCGTCCCGTTCACTCTCCCTCCGGCTGTTGCTGGCTGCAGCAAAAATCCTCCACCGCCCTCGCCCAGTCTTACTCCAAGCACGGTGCGGGTGTCCGTTGGCCCGCCGTCGGCTACTTCCGCTCCCAAGCGTGCGCGATCTGGAAAGTGGGCGCAGAGTACTCTGCTAGTGGGAGGCCGCCGTATTGCACCGCCGGAAAAGCCCGATGAGCCTGCACAGGAAGAAGCTGAGCTGCCGGAAGAAGGTGACATCCCGGTGCGCGCGGATACCGGCTCGCGGGCACTCACCAAGACGCAGCTGCGAGAGCAGATGTACCTGGAGGCGAGTATTAATTACGAGACAAAGTGGGCTGGATACTTTTCCTGGCTTGTGTTTGGGAAAACCAAGGACGGTTTCTCGTACGTGAAGTGCAGCATCTGCATGTCGTACGGTAAGGGGAACACGAGGTACGCCATGCATGGAGACGACGGAGGCCGTGACTTGCAGACGCAAGCGTTTCGGGCGCACGAGCATACGGAGGCACACATGGCGGCGGTGGACCGCCAGATGAAGATTGCGGCGGGAATCCGCGAGGGGCAGCAGGTGATTTCGGACTTCATCAACTCCGACGTCGAGGGCCGCCGCGCGATACGGCTGATGCGGTCGACTCAGTTCCTGTGCCAGTGCGACGCGCCGATTAGCATGTTTCCTAAGCTGATGCGGCATCTTGCGGAGCAGGACACGCCAGACATTCCCCGACAGTCGTACGGCGTTTATCTCACGCGGTTAGTGACGGTTCAAATTGCTTGCAAATTTAAACATGCACGTCAAACAACTTGCTTGACTATCGTGTACTGATAATTTCTCTGTCCTTTGTTGCAGCTACGGCTTCCAGCAGATGGTCCACAGCATGAGCACTTACCTCACCCGGGTGCAGATGGACCACGTCTTAGCATCACCGTTCCTGGGCATCCAGTGCGACGAGAGCACTAACCGCACGCGAGGGAAACACATGCTTGTGTACCTTACATATCTGAAGAACCGCCAAGTTGCATGCGAGTTTTTCACTTTGCTGACGGTCGAGCGGTGTGATGCAGGGTCCTTGTTTGAGGTGCTGCTGAACCATCTTCGCTCCGCTGCCGCCGATGTGTCCAAGATCGTCGGCATCAGCACGGACGGGGCGTCGGTCATGACCGGGAGAGAGAACGGATTGGTGGCGCGTCTACGTGAACATGTCCCTCATCTGTTCTCATGCCACTGCATCGCCCATCGGTATGTGAGTTGATCAATATTGTAGCATGTTATCTACGATGATTGGTTTACTAACAAACCATAATATTTGTTCCCTGCTTTACACAGTGAGGCGTTGGCTGTGAAGGACGCCGCTGAGTCAAACCCGGATCTCGACATGGTCGACAAGGTGGTGCGCACTGTGGCGACTCTGCTCGGAAACTCCAGCGTGTGGAGTCAGCGGTTCAAGTACCTGCAGCGTGTGATTTACAAGACCAATCTGGAAGTCCAAGGCATACACACGGTGCGGTGGCTGTCTCGAGGAGATGCGGTGGCCAGGCTGTGCAAGGTCCTCGGCGCTTGCATCGTTCTGCTCTGGGAGCAGAATCACAAGGCGTACGAGATTGTCACCTGCTACAAGTTTCAGTTCTGCTTGTTTTTCTTGGCCGACATCTTGGTGGACATGAACGACCTCAACCGCTGCTTCCAGAGACGAGAGGTGAGGTCGCATGTTTGTATGATGTTTGTATGATGTTGCTACGTGAGGTACGTAAGCTGCCGGGATTCGACATCAAAGCAGCAGAGAGGGAGCTTCCAACCTTCTGCGCGATCATGGAGGCACACCATGAGATGGAGAGCTTCACCCAGGGCCTGTCCAACTTCCTTGGGAGTGC